CTGCCACAAAATATACGATGCGCACATGCGCTGCAGACGTACATTCGTGCTCTATGGCTACAAGTTACTCGCTGTAGTACAGGGCACGAAATTTGAACTCAATAGCACACTAAATATGATAAGCTTTCTTAATTTGGTCAAAGAAATTACTCAATGCTTAAGTTGTAAACAAATAATTTAAAGTTGTGGTCATAAATAGGTACAGAAACACACGATGTCCCACTTACAAGGGAGGTTAGGCAACTCAAAAATTTAAAAAATTCTGAAACTTGGTGTGCAAGTAGAGTAGTTCATCCGTAACAAAAAACTATTGTTTGTTTGTGCGGAATTTCAGTTCTAGAGGGAAAAACACCCCTTAAAAAAAATCGGTTTTGTTCTTTCGAAGCGAATATCGTCGAAACAATAAGGGATAGAAAAAAATTTCCAAATTAAAAATTGAATGGCTTTATAAGTACCATAAAACTGTAATAAAAAAAAATTTTTTTTAAATTAATTATTTATTCAATATCTTTATTTTTAGACCGTATATGTGAGAAACACAATCAATACTAGAAATTCAAAATGCCTATTACGGTCGAAGCTGGATCTTCGTTGCTTTTTTAAATAATTCAATCTTGAATTACTAATATACGCTATATATGTACTTGCATACGAGTATATACCATATTGTAGTCTTTTTTCACAAACTGCGCGCCGAATTATTTTTCCGGACTAAATAAACGCAATTAAAACTACTCTAGTAATCGCGAATTAAATTGCTAAGCAATTTAATAATTTTGATGCTACCATCAAGCATCATATATTATAAAGATGTTAGTATATTAAAACTGTTAATAAATTTATTGCGAAAAATATTACCTCGGCCGGGACTTGAACCCGTATCTCTTGTAAACCGTACGAGCGTCCTAAGCCATTAGTCCACCGAGGCCTTAGTAATATTCTTCGCAATAATCGGTACACTCTAAAGAAACAACGTCTTTCTTTCAGGCGACGTAATCTAAACAATATCTTTATTTTTAGACCGTATATGTGAGAAACACAATCAATAATAGAAATTTTAAATTTCTAAAAATAAAGATATTGTTTAGATTACGTCGCCTGAAAGAAAGACGTTGTTTCTTTAGAGTGTACCGATTATTGCGAAGAATATTACTAAGGCCTCGGTGGCCTATTACGGTCGTAATTATTTATTGTGCACATCCACCATCACCCCTATTTTCAAAAATTTGTTTACGTTAATATACATAAAATTAAAGAGCATTTTACGCTGAAAACGATATGATAATTATGTTCCGAAAAACCATTTTTCAAATATAAACGAAAACTTCTCTATTTGCCCTGTACGTATTGGTCTCATACCGCGTTGGCTGCGCGAAGAAGCGTGAAAGGCAAATACAATACAATCCATTAGTACAGCAGCAACTATTGAAATAATAGCTTTTATAAAACAACAAATAACAATAATAATGATAATAATAATAATAATAGTTTGTCTAACTGCTTGCAAAACCAGTCTCAAATATTTTTATAAAGTGTATAAAGAAAAAATAGTGTATAAAGAAATACACAAAACACTTTGGACAATTAAAAACAAAGCATGAATAAAGAAATTATTTTTATAAAATATCACGCATTTAATTTTGGTCTTAGGAATAGTTACTTGTAACGTAGTGAAAAAGAAAGATACTGTATCAACAGTAATTCCGTACGAATAAAAAATAGGTTTATGTTCCAGATGAACTACCCTATTTCCACACATTGCTCCAGAATTTTCTGAATTTTTGAGTTGCCTAACTTCCCTGTTAAGTACCTGGGCGTATGTAAAGTATGTACAACTTCCGTGTGAAAGATAAAACTCTCAAATTAATTAAAAATAGTCGCAGTGACGTAGGTATATGAATCATAATAAATGCAACATACATATCATACATACTAGGGTGGCTCTTATTTACCTTTGAAGAAAATTTTTTTTGAATTTTGTTTGCGGCATTTCTCAAAACTGTTCCAATTTAAGAAAAAAAAATCTGTGCTAAATTTCAGCCCAATCGGATAAGAAGAAAACGTGCCGCCGGGCTACTGAACTTTATTATAAAATGAAAAAAATCATCGATTTTCTGAATATCTTCTAACTTATTAAACTTATAAGAAAAACATTATATTGTCATTATATTGTCATTGACATTATATTGTCTGACGTGCTCGTGAGCGGTTGCTTTCACAAGTGCAAAATGGTTTAATTATATTTAAGTTGATATACATGTGAATTTTATAAATTTATTTATTTTCCATCGTCATCTGAGAAGGTAAATTACTTCTGTTTTAACTGATTTTTATTTTTATATGTATTTGACATTTTATAACGAATTTCTATTACACCTTTTGAATTTTGTTTTATATTTTTCAAAATTGTTCCTAGAGATGTTCGTGTCGGCATATTTAATATAGTTTCAATAGGTCATAACTCCTTTTTTAAGTTTTTTCTTCTGATAAGGTAAAATAATTTCCGTTACTTTTATATTCATCTAACATTGTAAAATAATTTTTGATAATTTGTTTAATTTTGTGTTACATATTACATATTTTTCCTATAGATGTTTGTTATTGCAACTTAATTTTATTTTCAATGGGACTACTTATATTTGACTTCGATCGACATGAATATTCTTACAGAATTAAGATATTGTGATAATTACTTACTCTTTTCTTCTGAGTTTTGACTTTTTTACAATAGCTATTTAAGACATTGTATTATTTAATCATTATGAAATGTTACAATTAATTAATTGATTTTTTATGTATGTATATTATGTCAGCGACTTTATGTTATTTTGTTTTTATTTTTATTAAGTAATTTGAAGTTTTTTATTATTACCGGATGTTTAAGTTAAAATTTTGTTTTTTACATTGAAAATGACCCGATCGGAGTCGAAACATGTATTTATGTATTTAATGTTATTATACTAATTATAATTTTTTGTTAAAATACTGGTTCTATGCCCTTTTAATATTCATTTGTTTTATACATATTGAACCTTATTATTATATTATTTTATAAAAAAAAAGTTTCAAACAAAAGTTGTAGATTTGAATATGGGGCATATTTTATGTTATGTTCATTTTTTCGTATGACGAACGATTTTCGAGAAAAATAAAAAAAAACAGGAAATAGATTAAAAATTGTTAGTGATCTTCTTAATTAACTTGAATATTTTTATTTAAGGCAGGCACAAAAATACATATATTCTTGATTTTTAACTTAAAAGGGTAATTTTAGAAAATTTTAAGAATAATTTATAAAAACAATATTAGAAACCGTTGATATAAAATGCTGTAATTAAGATTAAAAAGTAATTTGTATTTAAGAAAAATTTAGAATATTTTATTTTATTGTATCTCTCTCTCTCTCTCTCTCTCTCTCTCTTCATAATAATAGACTATTTTATCATATCTTAATGTAATGAATTAAGATAATTACAAATTAACACATTTTATATAGATTATTTTTATTATATAACTTTCAGTCTTATAAGATCTTATATCTTTTTAAACAATATCTCTTTTTTATAGTCGGGGAAACCGACGGTGGTAATCATTCACAATTTGTAAAATATATTGTGCTTGTTCTGCGTTCTTTGTGAATAATCTGTTATAATTTTCCACCAATTGAACACCCCTTTCTACCGTATCATTAATAACTCGTAGTTTATTCATTACTTCCAGCCCTTTTTGGAAACTACTATTTTCAGACCACAAATTGATGGGTCGGTTTGCAAGAATTGATCATCTAATTCATATCTTTTAAAAAAATTTTTAGTTTTGACAGAAATGAAGTATTCAAATCCCTTTTGCATAAATTAAAAAATTTCTTCATCTTTTATTAATATTTGCTTAATATTTTCTAATGGCAAAGTCAAATAAAAAAATGCCAATGCGATAGCTTCACGATAGCTAAAATACTATAAATGGTTCCTAAACGTATATAGTATCTACGTTGAAGCATGATTTAATGTGTCTTCTGCTACTAAAGCATCATATTAAGATTTCAAGTTTCTGTCTAAGTTTTACGAATATCGAACGATTGATCATAATATTTCTCGAATTACTTTGCATAAATTGAGGAACCATTTA